GTCTTCAGCTCCCACCGCAACTTGGGTTTCCTCTTTCGTTTCTTCATCTTCACCGGCTGGGTTTTCTTCACAGTATCGATCCCAGTGTGCATCCATTGTTTCAGCTAACACAACACGCGCAAATGATGCCAGCTCTCCATCGAAAAGCCGAGATGATGGGTCCAACAACAGCGGAGGCGCCCGGTCCGAGATCCTGGAGTTCGTATCAATCAGCACGCCGAAAATGCATCCACGATGGCCGATATCTTTGTTCACGGATCTGAGAGCATTTCGCAATATTCGGAAGTCATTCTTCTTGTCTGGCTTCTCAGTCAGCAGGCTTCTCGCTTCATCGATCACCAGAACCACGATTCTGCCATCCGGATTCTTCTCGGTGGAGGTAACCCCCTGTTTCATCCGAAAGTTTCGCCTTTACAGAGGTGTCCGCTGCCTTTTCGGTAAACAGCTTCAGCCATTCCTTCTGAACGTCCACCCAATGCTTGTTTGCGTAGACGTAAATTGTCTTCAATCGACTGGCGATGTCTTCCACTTCGGAGCCTTCTTGAAACAGCCAACCACGAAGCTCGCTCGTAGCCTTGGGAAACCCCGTCGACTCGTGCACACGAGCACACATGTACAGGACTTTCATGTTCAAGGCGCTCTTTTGAGCCTCGATCGCGAGCTCACGCATCGTCCGACTCTTGCCGAAGCCAGAACTCTGCACAACCGCCACACATGGCGCCTTGTACTTTGCAGGGTTGTACTCTTTCCAGCAGTCCCGCAGGTATTCTGCGAGGTCGTCTTGGGCCTTGCCGACGTACGTGACTTTAACGCATCCGAGAGTCGAATCATTTCGTCTTCACCCAGCTTGGTGATGAGGGGGTTGTCTTCCGGAACAAACTTTGCCAGGAGGTCTTCAATCGTCTTGACCGTAATGGTTTCCGCAAGATCGACCGTCACGTCTGGGTGCTCGTATACGATCCCAATCTTCACCTCCAAGCATCCATTAAATTCTTTCTGAGAGACCCGGAGTCCCGCGTCGCGATATTTTTTCAAATACTCATCGATGCGAAGAGGCTTCTTCTCCAGTGCTCCCTCGTTGCCTTCCTTCGCGTCCCCCAGTTTCGCGCTCAACTGAGTGAAGACGCTGTCGTCCACGAATGCGGCTATCTCCTCGACTCCAGGCTGGAGATCCGACTGGCTCGCCATGTCCAGCAGAGCGGCAGTGTTGCGGTTTGGCGACTTCTCTTTAATGTAGACCACATATTCGCTTTAATTGGACATAATCACTATGTAGTTTCTGTTTTTATTGGACAAAAGTATTTAGGCGCACATCTCGCCAGGTTTATTATAATAACACATATTGTACTTTTTGGCACTTCAGACTGTATTTGTGCTTTGCAATGATTTTGGCAATATGAGGCGAGATTTGCTGTATTATTACGACCACCTGCTAGATTTACGATAAATCGAGGTGCATAAATGGGTGGAGGCCTAGAATTACGCTAAAAGCGCCATAATTGCACTTTCAAAAGTGCAATTGTGGCTGTGCAGCTGCAATTCTGTCGGTTTTTATCCACAAGCACCTACACACACGGCAATTATGCATAAGAGGGTGGATGTGCTGGGGATCATGGACGGTGGTGTACTGGGCCAATGCATGGCTGCTGACAGGCCCTCCCAAGTCGATATATATATGAGGAGGTGGATTTATGCATAATTTTAGCAGGCCGTGTATCTTCATTCACACATATTTAGGAGCAGGCTTTGCCATATTTAGCGTCTAAAATGGTCGGCAAAATAACTGCAAAGCACAATAACTCGTACGACTTATCGAGTACGACTATAAATCGTACTCGAGTACGAATTGCTGTAAGTCGTGGATGGTCAGTCACTTGTGTCGAGCATTCGTAACACAGTTTGACGACAAATCAAATGTAGCAATTTCATTGGTTAATATTGTATTATGTAGTTTTGAGTGTTGCTGCATCTCGGCTCGTAAATTGGACTGATTCATCTGTGTGCGCATTTTGCCCCCTTTACTAGAGGCAACGCACTTGAAAAATGTCCGGGCTTTTGATCCTGACGCCATGCACTAACCTCCTGCTAGAAGATTTAAATATACTTGCCAGGAATGGAATGTAAGGACATCATAGCACAGTTATCATGCGACCGTTTGTTCCCGTAGTGGAGCAATGTTTCTTCGCTTTACTGGGGTGAACGACAACAGTCGTTCACCCCACCACGCCAACTCTCCTTTCTACAGTAAAGTACTAACACTACATAGAAGATGGAGATTCGGATAGAGGGCGCACACGCAAACCAGTCTACGCTGTAGCATCGGCAAAAAGCATGGCTGCAGGCAGTGGCTTAGTTGCAGGAGATACCGAGTAACTCGCCGATGCCGAAGGTCGAGCCCAGCAGCGATATGGCGCGCGCCGAGCGCCCGCGCAGCAGTGTGGAGCTCCTCCGCACCTCAGCGTCGTAGGTACAATATCTAGGTGTTATCGCCGTTGCAGAGTACGTGGTTGCATTTTGTTGCTGGACTGTAATGATTAGGTAAGAGGGGGTCGGAGGATCTCGGGAAGCCCACTGGCAACACCGTTCCCTGGCTGCCTCGCCTTCACAACTACTATGATGTACGCTCAAGCGTAAAAATTACTACATTAAAATGTACATGTAGTACCGTTACGAGCTATTTGTCCCTCTTAGTCTACGTCTACAAACTTCATCGTAACTCCGTGCCCTACAACGGCTGCACCTCTGAGTGGAACAGCTCCACGGACTGCATGCACGCGTTCGTGCAGTCATTATGCCGATATTTAAGCTTGCTGCCAGCGGCCAACTACAGGCATATCGCTTCGTGTGTGAACAGGAGGCTACTTACCCTACCGCACCATGCAACTGCATCGTTTCGGCGCTCAACGTTGCCACCGCGTCCGCGGCAACGATGCCGCTGTCGTGGCGAGCAGACCTGAACATTTTTGGCCAATTGTATGGCGCAAACTAGTGTCCGACAAACTGTCTTATGTTTTGACAGACAATATGCAATGTAGCCACTGGTATACAACAACCAAGATGTAGTCAAAACGCGTTGATCGGAAAACGTAAGACGCTTTGTCTTATAATAGGCATTCTGGGGCTAAGTATCGTCTTACGAAAGAGTATGAATCAGCACTAGGAGCATCTCCACCGGTCGTGAGTAAAACTAAATTTTACCCCTTTTCTGTCAATATTTAATCATAGTTTTAGTTTTGTACAGCTCCACCGGTTTGAGTAAATGCTGAGCAAATTGCTCCATTTTTTACGCAGATCAAAGTTTTGCACAAGTTTGCCAACGGAGGAGGCTTTGAGTAAAAGGTTGAGTACATGTAAATGTCGACCGACCAGTAGTAGGGCCAAGTCAAGCGTTCTAAGCAGCGCAAGCGTCACAGACCGCAGTGTCGCCCTTGCTACGTCATCCCTGGGTCTTCCTCAACGTGCTGCCGGGCCCTTTATAGGGCTATACAGCTGTGCGCCGTCGCCATGGCTGGCGCCGAACCAAGAGCTTTAACGCGCTTGCTGCGAGTCTCAATTGCCGGTGGAGCTGCGCACTGTCTATAGCACGGTTGTGCCGTTGTAGGCACGGATCTTAGGGCAATTTGCTTTTAGTTTTACTCAGCACCGGTGGAGATGCCCTAATAAGTAGTGCGCATATGGAGGAATTAAGTAATTCAAGTAGATTGAAGAATTTTTGTAAAAGTCTAAGTAGGTGAATGCATCAACTTGCAAGTAGATTGCCACAGTCAAAAATAACGTTTTATCAGAACTTGAAAACGCGATAAGAATTAAGGACAGGGTAAGATATGAAGATGATGGAGCACGAGCAAACGGAACATCAGCGATAACAAAATAAGTAGGTGCTTCATTATTGAAAACATCATGGTGCCAACTGCCCCCTGTGCAACACCAACTGGGTTGTCTCAAGTCTGCGGCAGCTCGTTGGCAAGCGTGCGTGCCTGGAAAAGCGGTACCCGATCCTAAAGGCTCAGCGACTGGAAAAGGCCCGAGCCTACAAGCGCGAGTACGATAAGCTGTACCACCGCGCTCGCCGTGACGCGCTTAACGAGCTTGACCTGCGTATCATCACTACGGCCGCAGGTGACGTGACCACGACTGTTGTTGAGTCGCTCGTCCTGTCTGTGCCTGGGGACATTGAGTTAGGGGGTTCAACAGCAGCTCAGAGCTCACCTCCCCTCTCTGCTCGACGACGTCGTGTTTTCTCGGCACCAGCTCCCCCAACGGTGATCGACATTACGGGGGAGGAGGACCAAGACGAGGACCTATCAACTTGCGCCATTTGCTAGTACGCGCCAGTGGCGCCGGTCACCCCGCGCTCATGCTGACATGCCATGTGTGCCGAGTGCATGTCAATGTACGTGGCGAGAAGCATTCAGGCCGAAGATGTAGCTAACTGCCCTACGTGTAGAGTTCCCATTCGGATGTAGCCATCCGGCTAGCCATACAGCTTTATTTTCTTCATTTTTGAGTAATTAAAAATATTTTTTTCACTTTATTTTGATGAAATGGTCTAAGCAGCAAATGATAATAAATTTGTTGTATATACTTCTTTCATTTACATTGCGTCAGTATCAATAATAGCGCACAAGAACGAGTTGTATTACTGGGAAGTAAAGTCGTACGATCGTGCGAATTGTTGCTATGGAATACCAATTTTCGTCAAGTCACAGTAAGCATCAAAGTAACACATTCGTACGATATTACAGATATAATATCTTTCACTTAAGTTTATCCTTGCAGTATATTATCTATCCTTGAACTATCACGTGTATAATACTTTCCTTCGATCCAAGTTCTATTAAAGGTAAATAAGAATTTTATGATATCATTTTCGTACGAGAAGAATTTTAAGAAAACCAAGGTCCGTTCTCGACGTATTGACACTAAGAATTCGAAATGTAATTTTTGCTTTGTTATGCTTTTGCAAAGACTTACGACTCTACTGCATACGTCTTGCAGCTCTAGTATTATTGAGTCATAGCAACGGCAGGCGACGCCGCAGAACCTGGTCGTGCAGACCTGCGTTTGTTCTTCGGCTTTGGACCCGGCTTCATGCCACGCTTCCCTAAGTCAGCTTCAGTGACGATGACTTCAGGTACTAGCAGTTGAAGATCCTGAGCGATGGTCGCCGAGCGGACGGTCGGGACAAACTGGTAGTAATATGTCCACCGCGCGACCGACACGGTGTGTTCCTTCCAGGCGAAAAGCTCGCTCACGTGCATTCCGTGATGAATTGCAGCTTTGACTGCATGGACACACGGGAACATCAGGTCTTGCCAGCGTCGGCACGTTGCATTCCTTCTCGATCAAGTTCACGGTTCGCCACAGATGGGCGTGGTCCGGTCTGCTGCTGATGTCCGTGAATCGCACCATGTACTGGCCATCAAGGCACGGCAAAATCTGCAGGGTTTTCGTAAGAGCCATGATCCCGTCGAGCTTCTTCTTGTAGATGGGAAGGAGAAAGTCCGAGAAGGCTGCAGGGGTGGTCCTCATCACGTCAATTTCGCAATCGTCGTACGGCTCACCTTGGGAGGTGCTTGCGTGTCCTGCGTTGCTACCTAGACCCTTCTGTCGCGAGGAGGTGCGGCGCCTTTCGGCGAACAGCTCAAACACCTTGACGAAGTATTGCTCGAAAGCTTCCAAGGGGTAGGACGACCGCACTGCATTGCCCAACCAACTGTTCGCTGCCTCGGACAGGTTGGAAGTGACCTCGTCATAAGAGGGTTGGTTGTACTTCTCGTTGAACGCGTATGTTACCCAGTGCGACTTGTCAATTCCAGCGAGATACTCCACAGCCAATGGGCGAGTCTCCGAGAGTTTTGAGCTGTAAAACTTGTAGTCGTTCTCGCATTCGCTACGTGCCATCTGAAACACAAGTGACTGTTCTGCCGGCGTCAGCGCGGAGCCCTTCTTCTCGATGTTGGTGATAATGTGCCCAACGCAAAATCGATGTCCGGAATCCGGATACAACTCCGTCACAGACGCCAGGAGACCCTACTGTCTGTCCGATACGAACACAGGTTTCCACGCCGAGACGTCTTGAAGCGCGTCTTTCATGTTCTGCAGGAACCAGCTCCAATGAGTAATCCTCTTGATCGACAATAGCGAGTCCGAAAACTAGGATGTGGCTGTGGTGTAGCGGGATCGGC